CTTGCCGTGCTGCCAGAACAGCTCGATCGGCTGGAAAGTCGGCATGTACGGCGGTGTCCAAATTAACCCCCACCCCTTCTCCCTCATGTACGTCTCAGCCTTTTCCTCGAGCTTTTGTGGAAAATTCTTTTTGAAGTACGTCCGAGTGACGGAGGCTATCTCTTCTTTGCTGACGCCGTTCTTGCGGTTCGCATTGGGTAGCGACCCCTGCGCCGGGACCTCAAAGTTGTACTCAGCAGCCTTACCCTCCGACTCACGCGTCACCTTGAACGACGTGCAACCGTACTTGCGCAAGAGTTCGACGTTGTACTTCTTACTGTTGGTTTCGGGCACCTTAACCTCCTCGTCAAAGCAGTGGTGGTATGAGGCGTTATCGAGAACGAGAAACATCTTCTTGTTCTTGAACTGCGCATCGAAGGCCGGGGTAAGTCGGTGCTTCAACCACTGCATGAACATCCCATCCGTCATGGCGTTATGATAATCTCCGGTTGCCAACTTGGCCTGCCACAGAAATTCTGCTGTCTGCTCATCTGACATTTCGAAATCCGCCTCGCCAGGCTTAATCTTCTTCGCACGATTTTCCTTAGCCTTGAACCAACCCTCACGGATAGGAAATCCCTCCTGTAGCTCGGCCAAGGGCCCGTGCTTCGTGATCGCATGCACCATGATCATACGCAAACCTTTCCCCGTTGTACGGCCTATCCCATCCTGCACAACCCCCGTATCGTCAGAAGGAAAGTACGAGTACGCGGAACCATGCGCCTGGTGAACAAAGCTCTCATCTATGTACACAATGACTGCGACCCCAGCGTCCTCGGCCCTCTTCGCGAGGTCCATCTTAACAAGGAAGAGGCGGATGCGGTTTTTCCTCTCCTCGTTCAACGGGGGTATTTTGATCCTACCCCTACGGCGCTTGAAGCCAAGGCGCTGCAGCAACCCTCCCACGGCACGATTCGACATCTCTAATCCGAACGAACACTCCAAGTAATCCTAAACGGTACGGCGGAAGACCTGACGTCCCGCCTCGTGCTCGCCCTTGATGAACTCGCGCAGTCCATCCTCTTGCTCCTTGGTGATGACACGTCGCCCGTCGTCGACGCTGGTGGCCTTGCCTCGCCCCTTCCCGTTGGTCTCGTACAACTCCTGCTTGTCATACCAGAGTGTGCGAACCGCCAGGACCTTGTCCGTACCGATCCTCAAGGTCTTCGCGACCTGATAAAGATGGGTCATCCACACAGAGGGAGGGTGGGAAAAAGTTTGTAAGAATACAGCAGTGTATTGCGTTGCAGTGTATGGCGTTGGTGTACGAAAGCCGGTGTTAAAGGGACGGCAGAGTGTAGACAACGTACAGCGCACGCGAGGAGAATGGTGGTGCCATGCACATCCATTCCTTTACATTCAGCGGTACAAAGCGCTGTAACTGCTGTACTGATACACTGCTGTACAGCTGGCAGCATACCGTTATACATACCACTCAAGTATTGTACAGCAGTAATGGGCATCAGTACAGCAGTGCAAGCAATGCGAAGATATGGGCCGGCAGCGGTACTGGCATGATGTCAAGCACTGTTGTTGCTTGTACAAAAATCTTGGGTGGGATGTATGTATATGCATACATACATTTGTACCAAAAAAGTAAATGGCACTGCTGGTGTAAAAACGTAACAGCGACATGCGTCTTTAGAGCCTATACTGGTATTTGTACGCAACAGCCATGTTTCTTGGTTCTCACCTGCTCCTTTGCGTGGTTCTCAGAGCTGCCTCCTTTCACCAGGTCGAAGTACAGCATGAGAATAATCCGCGACTGCTGCAGGGTGGTGAGCTCTCCAGTCTTGGGCCTCAGTGAATGCACAGAGTCCTCGACAAACTTCAGCGCGAGAGGGGGAAGCTTGGAAGTCGCCGCTTCAGCAGCCTTGCTGACACGATCCTGCTCTCGCCGTTCACGCTGCTGTTGAAGCACGTCTGACCTCGCGATGTCCCGCGCGAGCTTCTCCCGATCCCTGGCCACTGACGCCTTCATGGCCTTTACCTCTTCTTACTTGGCCGCGAGAGCTGCTTCGGCAGCGGCAGTGGCCGCCTCTCTTTTCTCCATATCATCCAGGCGCTTGTTCATAGCCTTTGCATTTCTCGCGGCCGCAGCGTTGGCCCCCTTGATCGCTTTAGGTGGACGGCCGCTGGTGCCTCCTGTCGGTACCCGTCTACCACGCTTGGTCATGGTGGGTGCTGGATTGGCCAGGTGCCTGGCGTGGACGGCGAGTTGCTCTACAACGGCCGGCTCATGTTCAAAAAAAAATTGGCGTTGTACGCGCCATGTTGAGCAGTTTGTGTTGGGTTCTATTTTAGAACCTAACTTTTTTTTTCCGAACCGCAACAAGTATGCCCGCTTGAAAATTGCTGCCATGAAGTGCCTGCTTTTGGCGCCGTTCACTTCGTGCTGTGACTGTTCGATGGGTACGAAACCAGCGCCATTCGACAGCTGATGTAACACGCTTTCTGTTGAACCCACCCAGTGTGTGTGTTGCTCGATTATTGCGTGCAAAAGTTGCAAAAGAGTATGTGTTTTTTTATCAACTTCGCGGGAGAGAGCATATTGACAGAAAAAAAAAAAATTGAGAGAGAACGGGAAGTGCCCAATTTGGTCTTGATTATTGTGTTCCACCGTAATACCCGTCTGCTCCCCTGTGAGCACTAGCTGTGTCAGCACACCCGTGGACATTAAGTAGTCAGTGATAGATGTCACGATTCCTGGCGAAAATTTGTCGCCTCCTCGTGTTATCGCTGGTCCAGCATCATCTCGAAGAAAATTAATGTCTCCAAAACTCACGGTGTCACGGTCGTCGCGTTTCCATCGGCTTGGTGGGTGGGTGGGTCCACCGCACTTGCTTTTGTGTGTTGTTTTCTTCTACTTGTATTGCGACAACAGTCCCCCCCATCTTGGGTGGTGATACGTGTACTAAACGTACCGTACACTTTCAGTGTTTTTTCTCGTACAACACATACAATCATCCAGGATCTCACACAGACAGGAGGGTAAACACCAGGACTTTTTTTTTTCTATTTTATGTTCATAATGTCGTGCCCCACATCCTCTTGCGGGCCGTGCTGAGTTTTACTTATCATCGCGAGAAGGGTCCAGCCGTCCCCATCCCTCGTCAACGGTGCTAGCGTCGAAGTTTGGTACACTGGCGAGCTTTTGTTCATCTTTTTCGCTATCATCACCCGCAAATTCGTAATTTTTCACCTCATGTGAGTTCGAACTCACGACGTCGCCACTATTATAGTCTAGAGGTTTCGAGGATACCACACACACACACTGCTAGGCGACCCGCTTGGTTGTACGAAATATTATTTTGATATTCTTACGGCGTGGCAATGACCTCACTGTATCACCCGAGAGGCATCGTTGTACAACAATAGAGCAGCTACATAGTAGCCACATAGTAGCCACATTAGAAACCGTTCCGTTCTCTCTGCCCAGGATCTGTCCGTACAGAACGGGCCCGGAGATAAGAAACAAACGTAAAAATCGGGTCGAGCCTCAATTTCATATTTTCGCCCGAAGAACCAGCCGAAGTCGGCCAATTTCTAAGAACGGATTTCTTAATTCTTTGGTGCTGTCGCATCATCCTGTTGCTCTTATTTTCTTATTTCTGGCGAAGAAACCAACAACACACCAAGCCTTTTCATGCAGAATTTTCAATTGACAGCTCGGTGGTCGCGAACATTGATTGGGATTGTCACTCTCCTCCTGAACTCCCTGACTCCTGTGATTTGCGGCGGCGCGGGAGGTCGGGGGGCGACCCGAAAAATAACCACTCTTAACCCCCTACAAAAAATCACTACATTACAGATAGCGCCCGCACTTGGAGAACTTAGCAGTTAAGAAATTGGGACTCGGCAAAAAATCAGAAGCTAAGAACGTGAGCACTATTTGTGAGCTCGGTTAAAAACCCTACAACACTAGAACCTGTATAGCGGCCATTTGTAGCCCGCAAGAGGATGATCAGCAAAATAAGAACCCCACAGCCTCGGCCGAAACTAGAGGTTCGTAAGTGCGGGCGCCATCTGTATGACATGATGAGCTATGATAGCATAGGTAGTGGTGGGAGCTGGCAGCACCATGGGAAGTTTCTTATCGGACATGCTTCCTCAGCTATCGGTTGTTTCTTTGGTCTCGGGGTATCGCACGATCATATTTCTTATTGGGACGTTTTTTATGTCATGGCCGAAATTGAGCCGAGTTTCTTAGCCCTTTTTTCTTATTTTTCCCAAACATTTGAGCTTTTTTTGCTCAACAGATTTTTTATTGCGGGCTCGTGCTGTACTTGTAGTACTACTAATACTACGGTAAATCTAAAACTTACGTGAACGCTCCATCAACTTCGGGTGGGTGTTGAAGTGGCCTGAAAACCTAAGCACCAACGGGAGGGATTGCAAGGTTACCTCCTCCTCCCTCCCCGCACCATCCAGTTTTGCACGTGTCTGTGCCCTATGCCCTGGGTGTGCGGTACATCTCAGGGTTACGACGTTTAGTGTCGGCAGCGGTGTTGGTCGCCGGCTACAGTAGTGCTACAGGCGCCTTCCGAGATCGAATGCCCGACGTCGAGATTGAGCGTTACCGAACCCGCTAAGCTCTGACAAGTTGGTTGTAGTCACCTCTGCCCATGTGTACACGATTCCCGTGGTCAGATTTGGTGACGGAGGTGCGGAAGGGGGGTTTTCAGCGGCCTTCTCAGTTTTATATGCCTAAATGTATGAAATAATGCAAACCCGGGGATGGGATGGTTTTGTCCCCCCCGGTGTTTTAATCAGTTTTCTCGTGTTTTTAAGCGCTTTTACGCTGGCAACATGGCGCGCTGACGGCAGTAAATGATGTGCGTGGGACATGCACGTTGTTATGCATGAAAAAAATGCTGCGATACTCGTGCTAAATTTGTTTAGGCACTCATTTAATTGATGTTGGTTATTTGTGTGTGTGTATTGACGGTAAAACACATTGTTGACGGTAAAACACACCCAAAGAGTACATCCCGGCTTATCTGTTAGTTTCCTCAACGGCAACGCAGCATCACCGGCGGCACAGAACAGCATAGCACGCTATACACAGCAACACAACACAAAACAGCAGCAGCAGCAGCAGCAGCAGCAACAGCGATAACCACAAACGAGATATTGAACAAAAAAAATACGGTAAGTGAGGCACTCGAAGCTATCGACTTTTTTGCTCAACTGTCGGCAGCAGGAACCAGTCTATCCTTTCCTGATTTCTCATGTACCTTGCCAACGATCTCGGGGTAGTTCTTTGCAACCATGCAGTCCGGGTACGATCCTACCCTGCACTTAGAACAGTAGCACGACGCCTTGCGAACACGGCACGTGTACTTTCTCGTAACCTTTTCGGGGCGCGGGGCTGGTCCGACTACTTCGGGGCCAGGGTTCGCGTGTTCATTCCCTGCTACTACCACGACTCCAGAATCTGCTGGTTCCACCCCTAGGCTACTTCTAAGCCTCTGTTCCTGGTTCTCCGCCCCCATGAACTGGTACAACTTGGAACTTCCAGGGATACCCGTCAGATCAACACGCGGGCGGGGGATCTCGTTGGCTCCAATCAGCTCCATTTTGAAGTTTGCGATCTTGTAGGGCGACCACTTCCCCAAGCAACCTCCTGCATCCTCTTCTTTGCTCTTGGCGTATGCTGAAAGAAAGTCGTGCGCGGCGGCGGTGTCGTGGATGCGGAAGCCTCTCTTCTCGGCCTCTCTCATGAGGGTCTTCAGCAGACCCCCGATTCCATCGTGGGCGCCCTTGAAGTGCGA